CACATTTTGTGGCATTGCTGTTCGGCCATGGGTTGCAAGATGCGAGTGGGCTCTGTGGGTGTGATAAGAGGAGAGATCCTCCCTGGCACCCATGAGTTGTCTTTCCATTGGCAGGCTATCCTATGACCTCCCTATCCTTTGCTCCTCTCCAAGATCTTTCCCTCTTTCCTTTCACCTGCTCCAGGCATAAGCAGGAGCCTCCTCTCTACCTCCACAGAGGAGGCTCAGGGAGTGAGGCAGCCTGTCGAGGACAGGGACAGATCAACACCACCCAGGCCGCCCTCACACTCAATCCTGGCTGGAATGTGACCCACAGCTGGGTTTCCCTGAACACACACCTTAATTCCTCAGGTGTGAGCTCAGCTGCCTTTCTTGTCCATGTTGGGAGAGGGACAGGTCCTCTCCCTTCATCCTGGGAGCTGGTATGTGGGAGGGGCACACGCTTGCCCACCTTCTCCTCCACCAGCGTGGCCGGGGCAGAAGGGCTTGGTTTACAGGAAACATTCTGTTATCCCACACAGTGATCTTGCCACACTGGTAATTCACCTGGACTCTGTGGGTGGGTGGGGAGGCTTCCTGGGTAGAAATAGTTGGCGGATGCTCAGAGTTGGGGTTAGAATGCTCCCTCAAGCTTTCCACTGGAGACGTGTCTCTTGGGGGACAGGCAGGCTGGGAAGAAGCTGGCTGCTCGGGGTCTAAGAAGGGAAATGAAATAGGGGGTTTTGGAAGCCACCTTCCAGACATGACTTCTTATACCAAGCCTGGACCAGCTGTAAAACCCAGAGGGCAGCCAATCTGGCTGGTACCTTTGCCACAAGATTCCTTCTTGAATTGGCCAAGTGACCTGTTGCCTCTGGTTCTGATCTTAGTGAAGATAGGGGTCCCAGGGAAGCTCCAAGCCACTGTACTTAGAGTCTCTGGGCCAAAGCTGGACTGCCAGGACTGTTAAATTGCAGCCATTGGCCGGGTGCGGTGGCTCATACCTGTAATCCCAGCACTTTGGGAGGCCAAGGTGGGTGGATCACCTGAAGTCAGGAGTTCGAGACCAGCCTAGTCAACATGGTGAAACTCTGTCTCTACTAAAAATACAAAAATTAGCTGAGCATGATGGTGGGTGCCTGTAATCCAGCTACTTGGGAGGCTGAGGCGGGACAATCGCTTGAACCTGGGAGGTGGAGCTTGCAGTGAGCCGAGATTGGCCCATTGCACTTCAGCCTGGGCAACAGAGAGAGACTCCATCTCAAATAAATAAATAAATAAATAAAATTGTAATCATTGTGTATTATTGTTATGCAGGAAGGTTGGCCAAACATTTTGGGTGAATAGTTTCCATCTTGTGTCACCCTCAAACCAGAACTTTGCAAAGAACTAGGGTGCCTAATCTGAAGGTTTTTTTTTTTTTTTTTCTGGAGATAGGGTCTTACTCTACCACCCCCATGCTGGAATGTAGGGGTGCAATCAGAGCTCACTGCAGCCTCAAACTCCTGGGCAATCCTCCCTCCTCAGCTCCTGAGTAGCTGGGACTACAGGCATACATCATCATGCCAGGCTAATTTTTTTTTTTCTTCTTTTTTTTTTTTTTAACAGATGGGGTCTCCCTATGTTGCCCAGGCTGGTTTCAAACTCCTGGCTTCAAGCGATGATCCTCCCCCCCTCAGCCTCCCAAAGTGCTGGGATTTACAGGTGTGAGCCACCACACCTGGTTCGCTGAAGTTTATTGATCAAAATAAAGTTTCTTTGAGGCCTCAGAAGGTTCTGGAGGTAATGACCGAAACTTGCTGCCGGCTGTGCCGAGTGGAGACCAGTTGACCTTCTCCACCATTGTTTTATCTCACCAAAGCCTTAGCATAGAGCCCTTCCCAACCACCCTACCTGCGGGGCGGGACCCGCCCGCCACACCCGCCGCATCTTGCTGGGGCTGACTTCCCGATTTGTGTCCACAGGCTGCTGAATAGGATGTCCTCAGACGACAGGCACCTGGGCTCCAGCTGCGGCTCCTTCATCAAGACTGAGCCGTCCAGCCCGTCCTCGGGCATCGATGCCCTCAGCCACCACAGCCCCAGTGGCTCGTCCGACGCCAGCGGTGGCTTTGGCCTGGCCCTGGGCACCCACGCCAACGGTCTGGACTCGCCACCCATGTTTGCAGGCGCCGGGCTGGGAGGCACCCCATGCCGCAAGAGCTACGAGGACTGTGCCAGCGGCATCATGGAAGACTCGGCCATCAAGTGCGAGTACATGCTCAACGCCATCCCCAAGCGCCTGTGCCTCGTGTGCGGGGACATTGCCTCTGGCTACCACTACGGCGTCGCCTCCTGTGAGGCTTGCAAAGCCTTCTTCAAGAGGACCATCCAAGGTGCGTGGTGGGCCTCGCGGAGCCTGGGTGCGGGGTGGGGGGTGGCAGCCCTGCCTGCGGGTCCGGCAGAAGCCCTAGGAATTCCCAGAAACTGCCAGTTCTGGGCGCTGTTGGAGCAGTACTTCTGTGGGGCGCCTTTTCCCTTGCTCAGGGCTTCTCGTTCTGGGACCGGACAGCTGCAAGACTGTTGTTGAGATGACATGCGTTCCCCACCCCCTTAGTTCCCCCATGCAGAGCCCCAGAAAACCAAAAGAAAATCCACAGGAATGCCAAACCCTGGGTGCTTCTCACTGGTGTGGGGTACACTGTCAAATGTGTGTCCCTCAAAAAGTTTATTTTGTGCCGGGGAAAAACACAACATAATTTGCCCTGCAATTCCAGACTTGTGGGACATATGAAGAGTCCCTCACCTTGTTTTTGTCTTTCTTACTTATACAAGTAAAATGCCAGACGTGACTCATGCCTGTAATCCCAGCACTCTGGGAGGCCAAGGCCAGAGGATAGCTCAAGGCCAGGAGTTGAGACCAGCCTGGGCAAGACAGTAAGACCCTAACACTAAATTTTTTTTTTTTTAATTAATGCATGGTGGCACACACCTCTAGTCCTCGCTACTTGGGAGGCTGAGGAGGGAGGATCATTTGAACCCAAGAGTCTGAGGCTGCAGTGACCTGTGATGGCACCACTGCCCTCCAGCCTGGAAGACAGAGCAAGACCCTGTCTCAGAAACAAACAAAAAAACAAATAATATGTGAGTATTTTCTCATTGTAGAAGACTCAGGCCTGTTGGAATCAGGACAGGAACTCATCGTGTCTGGATCCCAGTTTGACCTATCTTTTAAGATCTTCTTTTCTTTTCTTTTCTTTTTCTCTTCTCTCTTCTCTTCTCTTCTCTTCTCTTCTCTTCTCTTCTCTTCTCTTCTCTTCTCTTCTCTTCTCTTCTCTTCTCTTTTGATGAGAGTCTTGGGCCAGGCACACTGGCTCACGTCTGTAATCCCAGCACTTTGGGAGACCAAGGTGGGCCTTGAGGTCAGGAGTTCAAGACCAGCTTGGCCAACATGGTGAAACTCTGTCTCTACTAAAGATACAAAAAAAAAAAAAATCATCTGGGTGTGGTGGCAAGTGCCTGTAATCTCAGCTACCAGGAAGGCTGAGACAGGAGAATCACTTGAACCCAGGAGGCAGAGGTAGCAGTGAGCCAAGATTGGGCCACTGCACTCCGGCCTGGGTAACAGAGTGAGACTCCATCTCAAAAAGAGAGAGAGATGAGGGTCTTGCTATATTGCCCAGGCTGGAGTGCAGTGGCTATTCACAGGCATGCGTATTGCACACTGCAGCATTGAAGTCCTGGGCTCAAGCCATCCTACCACCTCAACTTCTCAAGTAGCTAGAACTACAGTGGCTGCCACCACACCCATAAGCTTTTTTTCAATACATTTACATATCAGCTGAGTCACATTCCAATGGCCATGGGGGTGGCAGCCTCTTTCTGTGGGTACTAGAGTGAATCAGTCTAACAAAGGAGTGTAAGAACCCTGGTGGGTTGCTCTGTAAAGTCATCACGAAGTGAATTGGGGGGAATGGTGGGCCTGCCCCAACAAGGCTGTTATCAAATTCATGGCAGAGAGAGACTGCTGGGACAATTGGTGCACACCACCACACCCAGTTCATTTTATTTTTAGTAGAGATGGTGTCTCACCATGTTGCCAAGGCTGGTCTCAAACACCTGGACTCAAGTGATCCACTTGGGCCCACTTTGGCCTCCAAAAGTTCTGGGATTACAGGCCTGAGCCACCATGCCTTGCCAATAGCTGTGATTCTTAATTGCATCAGGCCCTAGATACAGCGCTTTCATTCAGTTTAGTCAAGTATCTGTTGAGCACCTACTAAGCACCAGGCCAGGCTGTAGGTGCTGGTGATAGGATACACAAAATCCCTACTCATGCAGGTCATTGCGATGAGCTGGTGCCATCCAACTGGCACAGAAACTGCAGACCAAACTGGAGAACACCCAGGAACCACCCATCCTGCCCCTGCATCAGATCTCTTTTCAGGGCCCTGCCTGGCTGTCCCCAGAATGTACCCACTCCATTCATTTCTCTTTTAGAAGAGGCAGGCGGAGCTTCCCCGGGATGATTCTGTTTATTCAACAAATATATATGTGTTTAAGTTTCTTCAGATGGCAATCTATTTATGAAACCAATTGAGGACATTAGGATTGGATATGTTTCCAGTTCCACATATGAGTTGAGATGGTGTGGTGCATTGGCTAACCACCAGGGCTCCTGGTCAGAGAGTTCCATCTTCCCCTTATAGCTGCACCTTGGGCATGCTGCTTGTTTCTCTCTGTGCTTCAGTTACTTCATCTAAAAAGTGAGATATCAGCTGGGCGTGGTGGCTCACACCTGTAATCCCAGCATTTTGGGAAGCTGAGGAGGGTGGATCACTTGAGGCCAGGAGTTCCAGACCAGCCTGGCCAACATGGTGAAATCCTGTCTCTACTGAAAATGCAAGAATTAGCCAGGCATGGTGGCAGGTGCCTGTAATCCCAGCTGCTTGAGAGGCTGAGGCAGGAGAATCGCTTAAACCCAGGAGGCAGAGGGTGCAGTGAACCGAGATGGTGCCACTGCACTCCAGCCTGGGCAACAGAGCAAGATTCCGTCTCAAAAATAAATAAATAAAAATTTTAAAAATAAAAATAAAAAGTGAGATATTGTTCATACCTTATAGAGCTATTAAGAAGCTTATGTGAGTTAATATATATAAAGCACTTAGAATATTGCCTAGCACCTAGTAAGTGCCAAACAAATGTTTGTGATTATTATTTTCACTTTAACAATATAACTTAAGACATATTATGAAAACAACACATTTGTCTTATAGAATAGGCTTTTGTAATCTACATATATTTAAATAAAACAATAATTGTTTTGCTCTAACAGGACTCAGATTATTTTAGCTATTTTAGTTATATATTTCTTTTTAAATGGAGTCTCACTCTGTCACCCAGGCTGGAGTGCAGTGGCGTGCTCTCGGCTCACTGCAACCTCTGCCTGCTGGGTTCAAGCGATTCTCCTGCCTCAGCCTCCCAAGTAGCTGGGATTGCAGGTGCCAGCCACAACACCCAGCTAATTTTTTGTGTTTTTAGTAGAGATGTGGTTTCACCATGTTGGCTAGGCTGGTCTCAAACTCCTGACCTCAAGTGATCCACCCGCCTCAGCCTCCCAAAGTGCTGGGATTACAGGCGTGAGCCACCACGCCTGATCATAAATTGATTTATTTCTTAAATGAGCCGTTTTAAAAAAATAAACATGATAAAAATTCTAGCAATGCAGAAGAGTAGAGCAAGTTTTCCTGAAACCCCAGACCTCAGTTTTCTTAACTATCCCAGAAGGACCCCTTTACCATCTTTGTCAAGCAAATATTTATTGAGCATCATCTGTATCAGGCACTGTGCTGGCCTCCAGGATATAAAAATGAATGCACCCTGATCTCTGCCCGCTTTATACACCCTGAGTCTGAGTCTGGGGAAGGCCCTGGGATCTGTGTATTTGAAAAACACTGCATGATGAACCTGCCTCTTGCCTCAGCCAAGAATGAGAATCTCCAGTCTGATGGTTTTTATATAAATCATTAGATATTTGAGGAACATAAAATGTTTAAGTCAGTTGAAGTTACCAAGATAACATTTTTCTTTCTAAACTGGAAGGTGGTCTTGGAGAGGTTGCCATTATTTTAGACTCTTTGAGGTCAGTTTTTGAAGAATTGCTTGTTAGAAGGCAGTCACATTTTCTCCTCATCATGTTGTTCTTAGATGGGCTGGAGAGTTTTGAATCACATTTTTTGAAAGCAGAGGTGAATGTGTGTAAACTCAGAAATCCTATTGCATGCTTGCCCAGGTGTCTGCAAATGTTCTCAGCAAGTCAGGAGTCCAAATGAAAGATTTGTAAATAGTCTTAATTACTTGCTACCGTGAATAAGATAATGATCTCTTCGTAGAAGTCAAAAGACAAACAGCAGCATTTGTGCAGTTGGAACTGAACTGCTGCAGCCTCTTCTCTTTCCACAAGGAGAGTTTCAAGTTTGTAACCAGAAAGAGGTTTATATTCAGGACAGGGAAAAGTAAACTCAAGGCTGACAGATTGCTCTGGTTATTTTATTAACTCTTTGGTTTTGTTCTAACGAAGATTTAGGTTTTGTTCTTGTTTTTTTTGAGACAGTCTCGCTCTGTTGCCCAGGCTGGAGTGCAGCGATCTCGGCTCACTGCAACCTCCACTTCCCAGCTCAACCTCCCAAGAAGCTCCCAATTGCAAGCATGCACCACCACGCCCAGCTAATTTTGTATTTTTAGTAGAGACAGGATTTCATCATGTTGGCCAGGCTGGTCTTGAACTCCTGACCTCAAGTGATCCTCCCGCCTCGGCCTCCCAAAGTGCTGGGATTATAGGCATGAGCCACCATGCCCACTCAGATTTTGTTGTTTCTAAATGTAGCAACTGTAGAAAATCTGGAAAAATGGGAAAAGTACAGAGAGGAGAAAAATGACCTAGAATTGGACAACCACAGAGACAAACTCAGAACTCAGTGAGCATTCTTTGAGTCCCTCTCTGAGTAAGGTGCAGAGGGGGAACAGGAGAGAAAGGGACGTGGTTCTGTCCCTAAGAAGCTGGAATCTGTTGTGTTTTTTGTTTTGTTTTGTTTTGTTTTCGTAGAGATGAGACCTTGCTCTGTTGCCCAGGCTGGTCTCAAACTCCTGGCCGCAAGCAATTCTCCTGCCCCAGCCTTAGAGTGCTTAGGATTAGAGGGAGGAGCTGCTGCGCCCAAGTAGCTGGAATCTACTGCTTAGTGCCCATGAGTCTACAGGTGTAGCACTGTTCTCCAAACCAGGACACAGTCTCCTAAGCACCTAATATTCAGGCCATTTTTTTTTTTTAAAGTCCTATTATGTGGACAGAGGGCTTAAGTCATGGAATGACCCATTCACGAGTGCCTGTAAATTCTTG